CTCCTGGGTATGTGCCCGCAACCAAGGTACATGCCCTTGACCAGAATCAAACCTGGGACACTTGAGTCTGCAGGCCGATGCTCTATCCACTGAGCCAAACCGGTCAGGGCCAGAAGTATTCTTAAATTTTACTTTAAGATGTCAAAAATTCCGATAGTATCTTGGGATTCTAATCAAGGTTTCTGGTAGTCTATGGACAACACTTTGAAGGATACTACTCTTCCCAGTATCCATGAGTGTTCTGATCTGTTTTCTTGAATTTAACATTCACTTTTCACCAGTGACTCACATCTACTTACTTTCCCAATTCTTTTGTTATGCTTCATATCTCTCTCTCTTACGGCCAGTAAGGTATTTCCCCTGAAATATCCCATAGATCCATCAATGTCATTATTTTAAAAAATATTGAGCCATTATATTTCCTCAGAAACCTCTCTAGCAGTCTTTGGCTAATTCCATAGCCCTTCATCTCAGCTTTACAGGGTTTCTGTGGAAATTGATAGAGAGGGTTATGTGAAGCATTTAGCACTGTGCTTAGCATATTGATGGCAACCATTGTTATAGTTTGGCAGATTTGAGTCCAGATCATCTGTCCAGTATTAGGAGGCTCAGTGGAATGGACTAGTAGAGACTCTCCCCTGTTGTTAGAATTGACCAAGCCAGACAGCCAACTGGAGAGACAGCTAACATGTTGGTTCTCAAGTATCATCCAGTTGTAAGATTTCCAGATTTATGAGGTGATAGCCTAAATATTGTAATTATTGATATTTAAGTGTGAAGTTTGTATTTATATTTGACAGTATGTTTATTTAACAGACTAGAACATAAAAACCAAAGAGATGAAGAGGTCTATACGAGTGCTTTCAGAATGGGCGGTGGGTCAGATGTGTGGGTTTAAATAACAGAATATTTTTCTCTTATAAGTAATTGAAAACAACAATGGTTGTAAATTATTTTGTAAAGCTAATTTTAGCAAGAGCATTTGATGTGAGGCTGCAAACAAAATCATGGTGGAAATGTTGATACACACTTGCTCACACATCCACATACGAATATATACATGTAATTCATTGCACCTCTTCAGAGATTAAGTTCTGGCAAGTTATCTGGGAGGTGGCCCTCTTCCTTTGAAATTATGCTACGCAATTTCCACCTCAGTGTGTAGCTTATTTCTAGGAAATGAAATCCTTTATAGTCCCTGAAATTCATTCGTGTTTTTTGTAATACATGGCTCCACGCGAACTGATCTGCTCCGTTCTTAACCCCTGTGTCTGTGAGGTTAGCACCTCTTACACCGAAGCCCACCATACTCTTACTGTACCACACAGTTGGTGGCCCACCAGTTAGATATTTGACCATTGATATTCACCATCAGTTATATGGTTTTTATTTTTGCACCAAATAACTATGCCTTTGAGAGATTTACATGATCAAATTATCTCTTCCTTCTTTTTTTTCCTTTTTACTGAATTTATTGGGGTGACACTGGTTAACAAAATTATACAGGTGGCAGGTGCACAATTCTACAACACATTATCTGTACACCGTTCTGTATGTTCACCACCCCAAGTCAAGTTTCTGTCCATCGCCATTTATCACCCCAATACCCCCCCTCCATTTCTCACCTCCCCCTGGCAATCACCACACTGTTGTTTGTATCCATGAGGTGTTTTTTTTTCTTTTCTTTTTGCTCAATCCCTCCATACGTCCCCCCACCCCCGGTGACTGGACTGCTGGATTTGCTTGCCACCTTCAGCTTTGGTGTCTTATCTAATATAAATCCTATGGCTTTCTTTGATTTTTTTTAAACCTAGGTTCTAAGGCCCTGGAATATTCCAATGGGATTTTTGATTGCCAGTCCCCCACCTCCCCGTTCATGGGAAGCTTGCGAGCCCTGCACCTGGTGGAAGACCTGCGTGGACTGTTAGAGATGATGGAAACAGATGAGAAGGAAGGCCTGCGATGTCAGATCCCAGATTCAACCGCAGAAACGCTCATCGAATGGCTTCAGAGTCAAATGGTAGATTCCTTCATGTTGTACCTCCCATGCTCTGAATCTTCTGTTGCTTATTCCGAAATTTAGAACATAGAATAGCCAATTAGAGCAAGAAGAAAAAATATATCGGGCAACACAAGTTTTCCCTAAAGAGCTCCCAGTTCCCTTTTGACTCTAAGGGTTATTTTTACAAAGGGCTCTTTATGTACATTTCTTGGGGGCCCAGCAAGTCACCTGATGATTCTCATAGAAGTGGACTAGCCTTTAGATTGTGAACAAATGACCTACTGTGGCTTCGAGCAAATAGTCCATCTATTATCTTGCACATAATAGATGCTTACCAGTACTATTGGGTGGTTCACTGTAAAAGGACTCAGTGGCAATTCTAATAGGCAGACTCTCAAAGAGCAAGAGGTTTGTAGCAGTCTTTGATATGAAGTGCCATCTAGTGGCTTGTGGTGGTCATTTCAATTCCAGTGTACAAGTTACTAGTAAGCTGCGTTGTTGGGCTTTTAAATGATACTTGTATTCACTGAACAGTGAGGACTCTTTCTAGACATCCTTCTCAAAAAATTGATGACATGGCCCATGCTCTTTCCTTTTTTTTACACAATGGTAGATACCATGGTTTTAATACGTGTCAAACACATACAATCTAAAGGATATCACAAACACAGATTCCAGGGAAAAGATAGGAAGGGTGTTATTTTGTAAGTATTTAAAGAACACTCAGTTATCAGGAATTTGCATTAATATGCTTATGGGTTAATTGTGTTAGTATAAAAGCTAGTGATCATTGTATGAAAGAATTGAGATATAGTTTTGGTTCTGTTTGCTGTTACCTTAATACTACATCCTGCAGCTAAAACATGTTCACATGATGTGACACAAATACTCATGTCTCCAGCCAGTCCCATGCCGACTGTGCTCATGGACTATGCCTCCCATTTCTGACATTTTTTTTTTCAACATTTATAAAGTTCTTTATTTAGCAAACTCTTAAATGGTATTTATTAAGAGCCAGATGCTGTTCCAAGCACTTTGCAAATATTAGCTCATTTAGTTCTCATCACCAATATATGAAGTAGGTACTATTTTTTTAAATTTTTTATTTATTTATTTTTTTAAAATCTTTATTGTTCAGATTATTACATTGTTCCTCTGGTTCTCACCCCACCCCAGGCCCTCGCCACCCCACTGTCCTCATCCATAGGTGTAAGATCTTTGTCCAATCTCTTCCCGCATCCCCCGCATTCCCTTTCCCCCCGAGAATTGTCAGTCTGCTCCCTTTCCATGCCCCTCATTCTATTACATTCACCAGTTTATTCTGTGCATCAGATTTTTCATTCATTTGATTTTTACATTCACTTGTTGATAGATATGTATTTGTTGTCACTTTGCTGTTCATAATTTTTTATCTTTACCTTTTTCGTCTTCCTCTTCTTAAAGAATACCCTCAGCATTTCATATAATACTGGTTTGGTGGTGATGAACTCCTTTAGCTTGTTCTTATCTGTGAAGCTCTTATCTGACCTTCAATTCTAAATGATAGTTTTGCTGGGTAGAGTAATCTTGGTTGTAGGTTCTTGCTATTCGTCATTTTGAATATTTCTTGCCACTCCCTCCTGGCCTGCATTGTTTCTTTTGAGAAATCAGCTGACAGTCATATGTGTATCCCTTGTAGGTAACTAACTGTTTTTCTCTTGCTGCTTTTAAGCTCCTCTCTTTGTCTTTTGCCCTTGGCATTTTAATTATGATGGTCTTGGTGTGGTCCTCTTTGGATTCCTCTTGTTTGGGGCTCTCTGCGCTTCCTGGACTTGTAAGTCTATTTCTTTCATCAGGTAGAGGAAGTTTTCTGTCATTATTTCTTCAAATAGGTTTTCAATATCTTGCTCTCTCTTCTTCTGGCACCCCTATAATTCAGATGTTGGTATGCTTGAAGTTGTCCCAGAGGCTCCTTACACTATCTTGATACTTTTGGATTCTTTTTGCTTTTTG